CACAGGCAAGGAAGACAGTGCCCAAGAGTTCCTGCTCCAGAGCCCGGCCCCTCACCTCTGCAAGAGAAAGACTCGGGTCTGAGGGAGGGAGCTGAGGCTTGGATCAGAGTCTGGGGAGGAGCTTGGACTCCTGAGTCTGGGGTCTGAGGGAGCAGGGCTGGCCTTGGATCCCTGCGATGACGGAAGGAAGGCATAGTTGAGGACTGACTTACCATCCTTGTCGCAGAAAACAACTTGAGCCCCACTGTCCACTGCCAACAGAGAGAGGAGAGAGAGAGAGAGAGAGAGAGAGAGAGAGAGAGAGAGAGATGGGGAGAGCAAGCAAACAGAGAGAGAGAGAGAGAATGTGGAAGTACACGCTTAAAAGGGAAAGCTTGCACATTCGTACTGAGTCCTTATGAAGCCCCGTAATGCATGACATAGCCATGACGTGGCCATGCAACACAGGGCCCTTTTGAGCTGCCTAAGTATCTGCCTGAATGTCCTAGGTTCCAGAAAAATCCCAAACCTAACATTCCTCAAAGCTATCGTTTGTAGCTAGGGACCCATCAAGGGAAGAACTCTTTTTGGCTTTTCGAGAGGGTTTCTCTGTGCAGCCCTGCCTGTCCGGGAACTCTCTGTGTAGACCAGGCGGGCCTCCAACTCAAAGATCCACCTGCCTCTGCCTCCTGGCCAGGCAAAGAATCTCAAATATTACAAATTGACAATTTCATATGACCAACCTAATACAGTGCTAAAATACAGAAAATATCAACAAAGCCTTATAAAATTAGATTAAGGGGCTGGAGAGATTGCTCAGGGGTTAAGAGCACTGGCTGCTCTTCCAGAGGACTCGGGTTCAATTCCCAGCACCCACACGCTCACAACTGTAACTCCAGTTCCAGGCGATCCAACACCCTCACACAAACGCAAAACAATGCACAGAAAAAAAATAAGAATAGACAAGTCACTAAGGAATGAATAAATCATTTTAAAAAGAGTGAAACCAGGTCTCTCCCTCCCACTCCGTGAATCTGTCACCCCACCCCACCCTTTCCCACATTCAGACATAGGGCAGGAAGACCCTGACTCACCGAAGGCTCTGACGATCCCAGCCCCAATGCCTCAACCACCCCCAGTCACCACCACCACTTTCCCGGAGTATCGGTTTACAGCTGCCATTCCCAGGTGACTTGTCTTGTCTCCCACGCCCTCGCCCTCCCGGCCTCTTAAGACCTCCAAAGTCCAGGAAAGCAGTGGGATGGAACCAGACAGGCTGGGTCCTTGTAGGCTGGCCCTGGAGGGGTGTTCCCGGGAGGGCCACACACCTGCGAACCTGCCTCAGACCTGGAGGTTGAGTCCTAGCTTCTCTTTCTCAAACCCTGGGGTCCCCACCCTGACACTCCTCCTTCAGACTCAGGGTCCTGGCCCCAGCCCGCCCCCATCACCTTGACTCTAACCCTGTTCCTGAGACCCATAAGATCAGCACCTCTTCCTCTGACCTAGAAAAACAGGCTCTCCAGCCTCCTTCCCCAGACACAATATATCTGGCTCCCAACTTCCTCATACTGTTAATCACTACCACAATTTGATCCAAATTTGGAGCAAGCTTGTCTGCCTTGTTTTTATTGGGATTCACTCAAGAGCTGGCCAGTGACTGCCTGCTAAATCAGGTTAAAGAGAGCAGCCCCGAATCCCCCTCTTGGACCTCTTTTAAGAAGTAAAATCACAAGTAGTTTTACAGAAGGGAGAGAATGGGACAATAAGAAAATACAAAAAAAAAAAAAAACTTAAAAAGTCATGAGGTCACCCATCATGTGATTAGGGAGGTGTCAGGGAGGGGTCAAGGAGAGCCAGGGTATTCTCAAAAACAAATCAAGGTCAGATTCCAAAAAACAGAGAGCAGCTCAACTCTCACAGTAAATAGAAACTTATTTATTTTTTATTCTTTTTGGATTTTCCAGACAGGCTTTCTTGCCCTGCAGAAACTTATTTTTTTAAAAAACTGCATAATGGAGTCAGACCGGTTCCTCGTTCCCCCTTGACTTGTGTTTCCCTGTCAAGTCCATGATGGGGGTTGTCTTAATAATATTCTCAAGCAGCAGTGATTCTAACATTGTTTATCTGACAAGTGATCAAGTTAGTGACACACTGGAGGGCACAGGGCCAGATTATGATAACAAGTATAACAAGTAGAAGTTGGGCGTTGGTGGTGCACACCTTTAATCCCAGCACTCGGGAAGCAGAGGTAGGTGGATCTCTGTGAGTTCACGGCCAGCCTGGTCTACAAGACAAGAAAGGCTCCAAAGCACAGAGAAACCCTGTCTCAAAAACCTCCCCCCCCCCCAAAAACGAAAAAACAAACAAAAAGCCAAAAAAAAAAAAAAAGATAAAAAGTAGAAGTGATATTACAGGGCCAGTGAAGGGGGAGAACCATCTTAGCCATATTGGCCAGGCCAAGTTTATTTGAGAGACTCTGTCTGTTTCTTTACTTAGGTCACCAGTTTGGTTGTCAATAGTGTTATTCTTTTGTTTAAAAAGAAGAGAAGAGAAATGCTTAAACATGAAACATATTGACTATAAGTTTATTATAAGGCCCGGCAGAATGGGGAGACTA